ACACAGTGGAGTAATTTAATGCCAATTATTACTACCACTAGCTCATTGAGTTTTGATACAGAGTTGTTCGACGAATAATTTCAGATGCGCCCAAGTGACCCTAAGATTTCGAAACCGCCGTCATGGAATGTCGCAGACCTGGCTCCCAAACCCATCTACCCCATCGACTCGCCCAAACCGGCATTCGATTTTCACGACGTCGAAAAAACAGAAGAAGAAACAGGTAATAGTAGTAGGAGTAGTAGTAGGAGTTGGCATAAATATATAAAAAGAGGGGAGATGAAACTGTTTACATTTTGTCCAGACCCAACATTGTTTTCAGCAGTAATAATAGTAGTCGTGTTAGTAGTAGTAGTAGTTTTATTAGTCCATTAAAGCGAGCTTACAAAGTCATTGGACAAGTCAAAATACACGAAAAATTACAAATACACATTCACATAACTATCAATAAGGTGAAATGACTGAAACAGAGTAGAACCAATACATACATGAATATAAGATATTAATCAGTTCTGTCCAAATGAAGACAACTCATCAATAATTGTATAATATGGACTAATTTCAAAGAGATTTTTTTTTTTAATTTTATATGAAATCAATTTGTCATAGCTTGAACATTCTATATTTTCTGGATTGTATGCTGCAAGTCCCAGAGATTTCAAATAATTGAGAGACAATCGTGTCATTGGCAAGTGGAAACTACATATTTTCATTCCTGGTGTTACAATAATTGTAGAAATTATTATTTTTTATGAAAAATAAATACAAAAAAGCTCAAAGTGATTTCCACGAATATTCATAAAATGAACAACAATGGTAGATGACGGGAGAAAAACAACTACTTTCGTGGGTAATGCCACGCAGAACATTGAATCACATCCTCACGAAATCTATGCATCAATGCGTTTAAACGAATACTAATGCAAGTGTTTCTTTCCCTAATGCCGATTTATTTCGATTCAGCCAGGTTAACGCAAAGACACCTACAGACCGTATTCGAGCTTTTATGGCTCTCATCAGTGCAGGGTAGTCTCCAGCTAGCAGTCCGAAGACCGCCGGCTAAGCGTTACCTGGTCCAACAAATTTCAATCGTTAATACGTATCGATGCATAGATTTCAGGAGGATATGATTCAATGCTCTGCGTGGTATTAGCCAGGAAAGTAGTTCTTTTTCTTCCGTAAACTACCATTGTTGTTCATTTTATAAGCATTTGTGGAAATGTTTTTGAGCCTTTTTTGTATTTATTTAACCTTTCATTGCACTTTGAGCATTTTGGCTATATCGTAGTTGATTTTTCATGAAGTTGTCTTCATCCTTAAATGCTGAAAGTAATATTTTGAACTTTTTGAATAGGTTTCGGCATGACTAAGTTATTCTTTCGCGATTACTCTGAATAATTCCCTCATATATAAAATGTCTCATGAGAGTGATTCAATTATCGAAAAATTACAGCGGTAATTGCACTGCAGAGCAAAAACATCCAGTCGCCATAACAACAGATTCGAAACCGTGTCGCCAGACGCCAGTATACAATACAAATAAATGTCAGATGCATTTCAAAACGTGAAAAAAATTTCCCGTTTGGTGAGTGTTCCATACAGAAACGCTGTATTTCTTCGAGACTTTCTTCATTCGTGCATACAAACGATTCGATGATTTTGCATTCAAGCGTGTTATATTATACAAATTGCATTCGGTTATTTTCCTCCACCTTCGATCTCGACCGTTTTTTTCAAAACACGAAAATAAACTCTTGCAATTTTTAGATAATACGCTTTCTTGCAATATTATCGGTAATCTGTATGCACTTTTTCAATTATAGCCGAGTATTTTCTTGTAATAATAGTGGTTTACCTAACAAGTGTGACTGTCGTTATCTCAAGAATACAGGAATATGACTAGGACAGTGAGATCACGCAAGGTTAGTAGAAGAGAAAGGTTGTCTCGTTCCTTCCAACCAATCAGCGCCAGCGCGGTATAGCGTCATCCAGAGTGCCCATTTCAAATTGAGAACTTGAAGTCCTTGTTTGTTGTTTTTGATATGTCCAACTCTGATCACTTATTACGATGCGGTTATGTACAGATATATATCTCAAAGCCAATGATATTGATATTTCGTCAAATTTAACCTTTTATATACCAGAAAATAAAAAAAATAATGATAGTCATTAGAACATTTTTCTGAGTTCCAATTTTGAACCAATAAAATTTGTGAAATATCACTAGACTTTTATCTTTCCCTTTTTGAACATAACAGGTAAAGTATAAAAAATGTCAAAAACACTGAATATAATGGGTATAGTAATTTATGTTGATACATACGAGGTGTTTTTGAAATGAATGCACATCTTCAGCAAATAAATATGACATAGTATAACTAATATTCCCAAAATATGGGATTTTTCTGATTCTTCTAACCATCGAGAAATCGAACGGAGAATAGAAAAATTGCCACTCAAGGACAATTTAAATAATTGAATTCCGCGTAATTATGTCTTCCTCACGGAAATTTGTACAGAGGTGACGTCCTAATTTTCACAGTGTAGAACTTTGGATGGAAAAAGGACTCTCACCCCGAACTTTATTTTGATCCCACAAAATGTTTTTATTGGTGCCATTCGATCTCTCTGTGTACATGACTTCGATTAATTATTTGAGATAACATATATCAAAACGAAATTATATGGGATAGAATGGATATTGCACAGTATTATTTTAGCTAATATATGATAGTTACAACACATAGGTATTTTCCCCTGTTTTTCATAAAAGATTCACAAGACACTGATCACAATATCATACCTAGTTTATACAACATCTTTTGACGGCGCAAAGGCACAAATAGGTAGGTACCTACCAATTGTTTTAATAATAACAACCCTAAACCACAGCCTGGTTCACTATCTAGAATAAGTTTATTATGAACACAGATTAACAAAATGGTGCAATAAACCAATGATATTTCAGTTTATTCACTAAAAGATTAGATGAAATGGAGTAAAACAGTAAAACCTATACAGGATCACAGTACAAGATTCAATGTAAACAATATGTCTGGCACTCTCGATGACGCGCCTATCCCCTCTCTCGTCGCACACACCGCGCAGCAACGAGACAACCTATCTCTTCTACTAACCTATCACGGGTGTAATTGAGCGATGAGGAGTCAGATACGTAACGCATAGAGAGACCACTGGCATTATTGAAGCGCTTTTGGTCGGGATCACTTGTTTGTTGAAATAATTATTATTTTGTTGAATATAATTTCGGGTTAAATAAGTTTACTTTGTTTTGTTTCTTTGGCGGCCGTGTAGTTTATACAAGTTCGGGAAGTGATGCTTTTCCGCACGTTTTAGGTGCACTATTTCTTCTAATAGCGTGCGGAATGTTTTCCCGCACCAAAATGAATGCGGAGAAGTTTTCTTCTGTACTAGTGCGGAAAAGTGACATTCAACACTAAAATGAGTACGAAAAAGTGGAAATTTCCGCACGCAAGTAGAACAAATATTTATTACAAATAGAGAGAAACTCAAAGTCATCACCACAAAATAGTTCATAGAATGAACGGAAATGGTAGATAACGAGAGAAAAACAACTACATTCCTGGCAATATGCCACGCAGAACATTGGATTACAGACTCCGGAAATCTGTGCAATATTTATTTATTTATTCATTTTTAAAATAACATACATATCAGCGTACTATATCAATAATAATATTCATTTTTTGAAATAATATAAACATGATCAAAAAAGTTGAAAACTTGTCCATCATCATGTAATTTTTTTTTCCTTCCACTGACTAACCTTAATTCATTTTCTCATTGAGTACAATTAAAATATTAAATACAATTTTATATTATCTGAGAATAACTATGAAAAACATGAAATGTTGCCTATGTATTTTATCATATAATCAAATTTCCAAAATTTCTGAATTTTCAATCAACCACGATTTAATTTTTTTCTTTAATCTAAAAAACTGATTTTTTTTCAAAAAGGCAATTCATTGTAAATTTTTTTACCTATATGAGTTGCATGTTGTTGCATTAATGTTGATGAGAATTTCTCAGTAGATAACCAACCAAGAATAATAATTCGTATAGACGAATAAACTCGCAAATGTTTCCTTCCTAAACGCCGAGCTGCGCCCAAGTGGTTCAGGAACGCGTGACTATCTGCAGACCGGCTTCGAGCTGTTGACTCTCATCAGTACAGGGTTGCCCAGATAGCTTCTTGACCGCTATCTGGTGCGAACCTGACCCAACGTAAACGCATCTCAGCATTCATGCCCCACGAGGCGTTCAACTTTCGCGAAATGAAACGCGAACGCCGAACGCCACCGGGCAAGGAAAATAACACTCCAAAACAAAATTCCATTTTAGGTGAAATGGGAGTCCGACTGGCGTATTTTCAACTAGGAAAAATCCAAGTACTCGAAGTGGAATGCAATGGTTACAAATAGAGAGAAACTCAAAGTCATTACCACATAATAGTTCATAAAATAAACTAAAATGGTAGATAACGAAAAAAAAACTATTCGTATAGACGAATAAAATCGCATGCGTTTTCTTCCTAAACGCCGAGATGCGCCCAAGTGGTTCAGGAACGCGTGACTACCTGCAGACCGGTTGCGAGCTGTTGGTTCTCATCAGCACAGGGCTATCCCAGATAGCTTCTTGACCGGTGTCTGGTGCGAACCTGACCCAACGTAAACGCATCTCAGCATTTATACCCCACGAGGCGTTCAACGTCCGCGAAATAAAACGCGAACGCCGAACGCCACCGGGCAAGGAAAGAAACACTCCGAAACATGATCCCAGTTCAGGTGAAATGGGAGTGGCCGGTTGTCCGACTGGCGTATTTTCAACTAGGAGAAAGCCAAATACTCAAAGTGGAATGCAATGGTTACAAATAGAGCCTTTTCCTAGTTGAAAATATTTATTATTTACGAGGTGGCGAAGCCGTTACCGTCCCGGAGCCCCCTCTGCCCTTTAAGGAAGGCGAGGAACTTTCGAGGGCGTTCGAGCCGAAGTTGGCCTCCACGCCGGTGACGAAGGGCAGGACGGACTTCGAGGGCGAAGCGGTGTTGCCAAAGTCTGTGCCTAGCTACGAGATCCAGCGGGGCGGCAGCGAATCCAAAGTGTCGCCAACGAACTCCATCGTGAAGGCGATGATAGCAAGCAAGGGCAAGGCGAAGAAGAAAAACACGCTGACGGCCAGTAAGTGATAATAATGTTTCTTCCACCGGTAATCTGAGAAATCACCATTGTTCTATGATTTCCGCTAATAAGAACTAACACTTTTCAAACCTAGGTAAAATGATGATGACTTGATAAAGAAATTTTACCTAGGTAGATAAAACTGTTGATAGTGTCAATGATATGCAATATACACAACAAGATACCGATGCGTATGCAACCAATGAAATTTTTTTTTTTTAAGACCTTTATTCGAATAATGCAGAAATGGTTACAGTCATGGTTTTAAGTAAATTGAAATAACAAAACTATCCAAAGAAAGGTTATCCAAAGCAGCACGAACATGCTGGTCTCGGAAAACTAGCTAAACCATATACATAATTAATCTATATACAATACAGTACTTCAACGAAATAATACTATTGAAAATTCACTTGAGAATTCTATAACACATATTATGTACCTAACTGTATGTCTAACAGTAGTTCTGGGATAGAGAAACGAAGAAGAGATTTATGCCGATCATTCATCAAGTATGCTAGTGTGAAAATTCTTTATTTCATTCTTAAATATACTGATATTAGGGCTATCTGTTATTTCCTTGGGGAGAGTGTTATAAGGTTTCATGCATAGTGTAATGGGATTATTTAGGCCAATATTAGTACGTACAGGTTCTAAAAAGACATTATCATGTGTTCGAGTATTGTGTTCGTGAAGTTGATAAACAAATGTAAAGTTGGTATTACATTCAACTTGTTTATTTATAACCTTGTATGCAAATTCACCTTGCTCGAATTCTAGAATATTCTGAATAGGCATCATTTTGGTTACATTGTATATGGTACCATATAGAGGTTCTGTAATCAAGCCTGAATAAAATTTTCACGACTTTCTTTGAAGTGTTTCTATTTTTTTTAATAATGTCTGTCCACATGTCTCCCATATAGGAATTAAATAGCTGAATATGGATAACAAATCTTCTTAACATCCTCTGGGTCCAGGATACTGCTCCCAAAATGGATATCCCTTGCTGCCACTATTGCCGGGCATTCAGTGAGGATGTGAGTAGAAGTCTCTTCATCCTCTAGGCACCATCTGCATTCTGGATCCTCCACAATCCCGATCATGCTGAGATGTTTGTTCAGGTGGCAGTGCCCTGTTAGCAGGCCCACCACCAGTTTCAGCTCCTTCCTGTTCAAAGCCAAGAGGGCATTGGTCTGTCTTCGTGACGGGTTTCCTATATGGAGTTTGGACTGCCTCATTCGAGGAGCCTTTCTCCAGCTGTCCTGAACCTTTTCCGTCAGGATTTCCTTCATCTTGGAGTTGCTCCAGGATCGAGTGACCCCTAAGATTGGCTCTGGGCCAATCACTGAACCTTTCGCCCCCTTTCTGGCCAGACCATCGGCCATTTCGTTACCTGGTACCCCTGAGTGCCCAGGGACCCACAAAAGACATACCTTATTCGTTGCTGACAGCCTTTGTAGGCTATCTATGCACTCTGACACCAAGGCGGAGGTCACCCTATACGAGGTGAGCGCCTTGATCGCCGCCTGGCTGTCAGTGCATATAGTGATTTGCTGGCTGTGATAGCCCCTCTCGATATTCTCTCGAACACATGCAAGTATTGCAAATACTTCAGCCTGAAAAATCGTGGCATGTTTCCCAAGGGTATAGCAGTGATTTGCCCTTGGAGACTGCCCATAGACCCCAGCACCTGCGCATTCTTCCATCCTGGAGCCATCTGTATACCAGATGATGCCCTTGGTGGGTATTATGCAGTGCCCATTCTGTTCCCAGTCTATCCTAGTAGGAATCTTGACTTGGATGTTAAGAAGATTTGGCCTAGGAAGTTGGTCTCTTTTGCTCGCGAGATCGGCCTTCTCCATGGCTGACTTGCGATCCCAGGAATGTGGGTGCACAATGGGCCCGAAAAGGGAGGCCTAAGTGCGTCAGGTCCCGGACCGCCCACACACATACATACATACATGGATAACAAATATGCACTGTATATTTGGTGGAGTGAGGATGGGCCTAAGTAGGTTCCACAACGATACAGGGCACTAACCATTGGACTTACTTTTTTTTTCTATATGGTTGATATGGTTATTCCAGCATAGGGTTTCATCGACTATTAGTCCCAGATACTTAGTATCACAGTATACACCCTAGCGGAAAACAGTAATTTCACTTAGCACTTTTCGTGTCCCTAAAATCGCAGTGCGCATGTCCACTCGTGGCTAATAGGCGCAGTGGCTCGGCCAGCAGGGCAGGTGTTTTGTTTACACTTCTTTGATTTATATGCCTTTGTTTGTGATTCATTCTGTGATTGGAACCACCAACATCTATCACGATTTATTTATTTTGTCTGGTATTGTTTCGTGAACCACTTATGTTCCTGATTGCTGTTATATTTATTGTGCATCATAAACTTTATATGTGAGGTCACAGCTTCTGGTGAACCGTTTTACTTTTGAGTGCTTGTGATAGTACCAGATATTACCACATATTACTGTTCATCAAACTGTTTATCATTGGAAGATAATGGCTGCCAACTGTTTCATCTGTAGCAAAAATAGTAGGACAGATTGCAGTTTGAGTTTCTTCAGATTTCCAAAAGATGAGCCAAGGTAAGCAAAATTGTATCCACAGACATCTGTATCTGTTTGTTTTCCATTGCCATTATTATTTATTCATCATGAAACACAGTGTGGTATGAACATATACCTACTGTATTATTTTATTCATACATTTCTGTTGAACATGCAGTTGAATATAGTGTCAACTTCTGGATAATATTCATTTTATATCTATAATTGCAGATGTATGAGATGGCTTCGGGCTGCTCTTGATCTTTCTGGCTGGTCTCTTCTACCTAAGTTTACAGCTGACTATTGTTATAGAAATCTCAGAGTTTGCTCAAATCACTTTAAAGAAAATATGTTCTCCGGAATGTCACAAAGTAGGCTGAATATTAATGCAGTACCAGTTAAGTTTAGCGAAAGGTCTATCTTTCTGATTCTGAATAATTTTTCTCTGTTAATCCCAATATTATTTGTTGCCTCACTTGTTATGAGTCATCCAATTCCCTTGGAATTTTCAGAAGACAAAGGTCATTCACAGGAAAACATGGGAGCAGAATCAAGTGTGTTAATTCAAACCGAACTTCCTGGAAAGTTTTCGTTTCCTAAGGATTAGATGAAATAGCATGTAGTAGCTTCTTTCTGAGCATAGTATTTGTAGCCTCACTTGTTATGAGTCCTCCACTTCCCTTGGAACCTTCAGACGACAAAGGTCATTCAAAGGAAAACATGGGAGCAGAATCGAATGTGTTGATTCAAACCGAACTTCCTGGTGAGTTTTTGTTTCATAAGGATTAGATATAATAGCATGTAGTAACTTCTTTCTGAGCATAGTATGTAATGAGATATTGAAATCTCACTTCAGAAACTCAAATATATGAACATGGTATTGGTTCCATTTTGAAGGAACAGTAACCTTGTATAGTTTCAATTGGTTTATTTTTAATCTAGGATACATGTTCATTGGTTATTTTATCAATCAATTTTTATAAAATCATGGCATCTTGACAAATAATCTAACAAAAGCATATACATTGTAAATTTCATACAATTTTTCATTTCAAATATTTTTCTTAATTTTTTTGAGTCTTCAAGTAAATGCAGTGCCTATATTTTCTATTGCAGCTTATGGAATGCATACTACCAGTGCCTCAACCAGTACAGTTTGCTATGAACAGAGTGCCTCTTCTCCAGAACATCTAAGTGCAGATAAAATATGTCAAACTTCAATATCTGTATCTTTCAATGCACCTAGGAAAATTGAACTGAGACGAAAAGTACATAGCCTTAAGAGGGAATTGTCAAGGAAACATGTATTGGAGCCACCAGCAAAGAAAAATATAACTGTGGAGGATGTTTCCGAATTTTTTGAGGAACATTATTCCTCTAACATAGCAAATTTTATCAAAACACAAATGATGCTGTTGCAGATGAGTCCAAAAGGTGCTAGATATTCTAACGAATACAAGCAGTTAGCATTAACAATATACTTTTTAGGGCCTGAGGTTTATAAATTTTTAGCTAAGACTTTTCGGTTACCTTCTAAAAGTACACTATTTAGAATTACTAAAAAATGGCCCATTAGTTCTGGGTTGAATGAATTTCTTTTTCTAATCTTGAGAAACAAAGGTGACACTATGTCAGAGAAGTCAAGAGAGTGTTTCGCTCTGTATTGATGAAATGTCCTTGAAGTCCAATCTGTATTATAATATCGCACAGGATGAAATAATTGGATTTCATGACATAAATAAAAAGAGAACTTTCAAACCAGGAAATAATGCTTTGGTGATAATGTTGAGAGGCATACATTCTAATTGGAAACAGCCTTTAGCTTATTATTTTGTTAATTCATCATGTCCAGTACCTTTCACTTTTCTATCGATACTTCCACGGGAAATGTTCTTCGGAAATCTCTGCTATCATCCCTTCACTGGCAATACCAGTCAGACGAACTAGACAAGCCCAGTCAGCACATCCTTTCGTTGTCAACCTCGAAAGATGTCGAACAGCACTTTATCAAAACTCCTTCATCCATAGAACGGCTAGGCTCTGGAATTCATTGCCTGAGGAAGTATTCCCAACAACATATAATCTCCAGAAGTTCAAGAAAAATTCCAGTACCTACCTCCTATCCCTATTTTCCCCAGGAACGCACGATGTTCTTTGAACATTATAGGGATTCCCTTTCGTGCGATCCAAGCGATAAAAAAAAATTGAGTGTATCACAAAATTATTTTCCATAAATTTGTCTGTACTTGCAGTGACTTCTGATCAAGGATCAAATTTTGTTAAGTTAACAAAAGAACTAAACATTTCTGTAGGAAAACCATATTTTTCTGTAGGAAACCACAAAATTTATTATATATTTGATGTTCCTCATTTAT